CTCCCCAAAGAGTCCAGGCCAAGCTGCTGACAAAGAAAAGGGGTGAAATCCTTTCACTCCCCACAAGAGTTACGATGCTGGGAAGAGCGAGGCCAGGGGAGGGACTGGCACCTGGTTCCCTGTGTTTCTGACGCACACAGCTCAGCAGACAGCGATGCCAGGGAACACTGATACCCAGGCCAGGCGCTGTTCCAGAACTCGAAGGACTGTATCAGTTCTCTGTGGCTGTGTAACAAAGTATTACACAGTTAGCAGCTTGGGATAACGCGAACACGTGTTTATTATCACATAGTTCAACCAGGCCCTCTGCTCTGAGTCTCGCCAGCTGCAGATCAAGATGTTGGCCAGGGCGCGGTCTCATATGGGGGCTTGACTGGGGAGGGACCCGCCTCCACACTTAGCTGGGTTGTTGGCAGTATTTGTCTGTCTGTCTGTAGCACTGAGGGTTGCTGTGCACCCCTATACAAGTTTGTGTGCGGATGGCTGGGTGTTTTCAGTTCTCCTGGCTATGTGTCTAGGAGTGGAGTTGCTGGGTTGCAGGGTGACCCTATGTTAGGCCACCTGATGGACTGCCAGGCTGTTTTCCAAAGCAACTGCGTCCGTTTATGTTCCCATCAAGAGCGTAGGAGGGTTTGCACAGTGTTTTCACATTTTGGGGATTAGTTGCTGACACTTCATCATCAGGAGAGTTCAACTTTAAATAACAGATTCCCAAATTCAGAAGTGGTGGCATGCACCTATCGTCCCAACTCCCAGGGAAGCTGAGGCAGGAGGATGGCTGGAGTCCAGGAATTCAAGGCGGGCCTGGGCGACACCGCAAGACCCTGTCTCTTAATGAAAACACCTTAAAAAAGAGGATTCCCAGATTCTCCTTGAAAACTCGGAAGATCTGGCAAGACAGGGCTCAGTTTCATCCATGCGATACCTGCCGACCCTGGGAAGGGCCGTGGCTGTGTCCCTGCAGTCTCATCCACTCGGTGCCCTTGCGGAGACTTCCCCCCCAGCCCCTGCGGGGATGTGTGTTTCAACCTCTTGTCCTCAGCTACAAGCCCCTTGAGGAAGACGGGAGCCCCGTCCAGGCCACCTGTGCCGGAAGCCCACTGCCCGGTAGGCTGGTGTCAGCTGCTCAGTCTCGTGTGCATTCCTGCCTCTGGCGCCCTGTGCAGGCTGCTGCCTCCCACACCTGGAATGCTGTGGCTCCTGTTCCCACTCCCTTTCAAACCCTACTGCTCCTGAAGGCCCAGGTCACATTCCAGCTGCTCCGGGAAGCCTGTGTGGATTTACTTCCCCAGCCTGGGGCCCCTCGCACTCTAAGCTCCTGCAGTACTTGTCATGTGCGCTCCCGTCTCCTCCAGTGCTATCCCTCTGCCATCTTCTGTTCTCTCCTTAAACGCTGTGTCCCCCAGTTGCTCTGTAAGCTGTCTAAGGTTACAGACAACTGCTTGGGGCCAAATCTCTCTCTCCAGTTACTCTGTGAGCTCAGACCACTTCGTTTGTCTCTTCCTGCCTCCATGCCTTGTTGGAAGGATAAACTATGCTAGTCGGTATAAAGCCCTAGATCAGTGCCTGGCACATAGTAGGTGCTCAGTGAAAGGGTGGTTTTCTCACTTGTTCCAGTGCTGAGCTGAGTGAAGCATGAGCCTCACCACAGCCATGTTGGCTGACTTGTCCTTCCACTCACTGTCCCGCTTCTGGGAGCCATCTCCAGCCCAAGTGGGGCCTCTCAGCTTCTCCCTCCAGCAGAACCCTGGCCCGGCAGCTGCAGGAGGAACCAGGAGGTGGGCAGGTGTCGAGACTGGGCATGGCACAGCCCTTCCCTGCTCCCCTCCAGCTCGTTCCCTGGGGACTTGAACGCTAATTCGGCCCAGTTTGACTGGGTGCTGCCTCGTAAGCCCTCCCCGGCAGCAGGAGCCTCTGGGGCTGGCTGGAGCTGCCATCTGTGCCCTGTCGTAGACACAGCAGCCCCAAGCCTGTCCCTCTTTAGCATCACCCTGCAGCGTTTCCCGAGATGACTCAGGGCAAGGCTGCAGGAGTGACCCCGTTCCCACAGGGTGGGAACCACCTCACTACGGGCCCCCAGGTCCCTGCGTGCTGATGGGCCGACCCCAGGTTCTGAGTGAGTGGTTGAATGAATAAAGTCAGCCGCCGCCTCCTGGCTCCAGCCTAAGCCGCCAGCAGGCCTGTGGGATTTGTGGGGGCTGTGGTCTGGCCAGTGTCACCATATGGATCCCATAAATTAAAGCGTTCCCAGAAACAAACGGTAAATTTCTATGTCCCCCGCCTGTGGGGCTGGTGCAGCCTGTGCTCGCACGGGGAGTTCTGAGGCCTCCGTCTCACTTAGGCACTTGGGTTTTTATAGCACTAATCCCTAAAAGAAAAAAAACTAGATCAACAGAAAGTTGCTTTTCTACAACCCCACCATCCCCAGAGCTACTCACTGGGAAATGGAGGGTCACCACAGCTGGTGCCCCCATGACCGGGCAGTGCAGTTGGTTGTTGCATAGCTCGCCACCTCTGAAGCCCCTGGCCTGGACTGACCCTGTCTGTGACCTCGGGCTCCTGCCAACCCTCCCTGGAAAGGGGATGGGCCAGCTAGAGCAGCCCGTCACGGTGACAGAGAGCAGCCGCTGACAGCCAGGGCTGAGGGTGGGGAGCAGGGAGCCCTTTCCTGGAGACAGAGTTGCTCTGTGGGATGATGAGAAAGTTCTAGAAATGGATGGTGGTGATGGTAGGACAGTATTGGGGATGTCCTCAGTGCTACTGAACTGCACACTTAGAATATGGTAAATTCTGTGTTAGGTATGTTTTATGACAATTTTAAAGACTATAAAAAAGTGGCCAGGCGTGGTGGCTCTGCCTGTAATCCCAGCACTGGGGGAGGCTGAGGCCGGCTCATCACTTGAGGTCAGGAGTTCGAAACCAGCCTGGCCAACATGGTGCAACCCCATCTCTATTAAAAAAAACAAAAAATTGCGCAGGGCGCGGTGGCTCAAGCCTGTAATCCCAGCACTTTGGGAGGCCGAGGCGGGTGGATCACGAGGTCAAGAGATTGAGACCATCCTGGTCAACATGGTGAAACCCCCTCTCTACTAAAAATACAAAACATTAGCTGGGCATGGTGGCGCATGCCTGTAGTCCCAGCTACTCAGGAGGCTGAGGCAGGAGAATTGCCTGAACCCAGGAGGCGGAGGTTGCGGTGAGCCGAGATCGCGCCATTGCACTCCAGC